TTTGAGGTGGCATATTTCAGTGCATATCTTTATCGCCCATTGTCTGTCGTCGCTTTTACCATTTCTTTTTACACATTTTATCTGTGGAAATGATTCATCTGTGCAGTGAAATATCCGTTATAGGCAACGTTCAAGAAAATGGACGTTGAACCAGCAGAAAACACTGAAAGTAACGAACCTATTGAGGCTCATGAGGCGCTTGAAACGTCTGAAGAACATGAGGCGCACGAGTTGCATGACATGCATGACATGCATGAAATGCACGAAGAGGCAAACGTTGTTGTCGCGAAAATAGTGCCAGATAATGAAGCGGAACAACAAGGTCGTCTATTTAAACATTTTTTCCTTACTTTAAACAGTTATTTTGCTATTTATTTGTTACAGCATCGGCAGGTGATACTGCTGAGGATGGAACTATGAAAGCAGAGCCAGAATCTAGTGAAGTAGCAGCAGATGCTTCTGTAGCGCAGGCTAATGGGCATTATGAAAATGGTGAAGGAGGTGAAGCAATGGAGATGGAAGGCTATGATGAAAGTTTAGATCGTACGTTTTTTATCTGAGCGTATTTGCAGGGAAGAATTTTGTTACTTTGTTTATTTGTGTGGTGTACGTTCTCTGGCACCTGCGCGGTAGCTCTCTTAAACTGCTAGTTTTTCTAGCTTTCCGAGGTGGTCCAAGACCTGCATGGCGACCAGGTATGCAACCTCAATTTAGTACTCCTGGAACCATGACTGGTTGGGGAACTAGAGGCAGCCCAGGATCGACTTGGCGTGGGCGCTCAATGTCACGTCCCCCAATGTACCACAATGGACCTCCTCGTGGACCTCCAGGTAATTACTCAGAAACGGAAGGAAGTTCCGATTATTACACCAATTCTGGATCGATAGGAACTGCACCACGAGGTTGTTTTGGTTCAAAAGAATTCCTGTTTTTTTCAGTGTCTGTTTACTACTAAAAGTGATCGTTTTGTGTTATTACTTTCTTTAACATCGAGTGGGATACAAGGAAGTTACTTTGTGTCCTTTTTGGATATTTTCATTTTGTAATGTACAGCCACTATGAGACGGGTTTACGGGAAGATGTGGATGTAGATTACCGTTATTCATGTAGCCACCTTTATTGCTTTTGGTGACATCCGCAGTTGTTATTCTCCTTTCATTTTTTAGGAAAGTCTAATAATGAAAAAAATGTGGAACTTCGGAATTATTTTTAATTTTGTGTAGGTTCTGTCTCGCTATTTCCATTACAGTTTTGGAGACACTGGAAAAATCAGGAAACCTTGTTTTTCGAGCCACTTTCGTATTCCTTTCGCTAAATAGTAAGGTTGGCGAACGTTAAGCCGCTGTGTGACTAGGAAATCATAAGCGTATTCCCGGCTGCATAATTATGGCTTCGAGTTCCGGTCTCAGATTGAAAGTTCAAAAAGTTTTGCAGCTGAAGGTGAATTTATTAGTTTTTGTTTCCAGGTTCGATAAGAATGCAAGGACCTACTGGGTCTCCTTATACCCGTCCGCAAAGGCCATATGGGATGCGTGGTGGACCTATGATGGGAGCACGGGGACCAATGGGTTATGGCGACAGAGGTAGAGGTGGGATACCTGGTTTTGCACAACGCGCTCCGTACTTCCCGGGGTATCCTGGTCCGATGCCACCGATGGCAGGAGCTCCAATGGCTCAAGCAGCTGCCACACCTCAGTTATCTCCTGCTGCTCAGGCAGAGAAATTAAAGAAAGTAAGTTCTTTTTTTTTTTTCTGGGAGTGGGAAGGGGTTTAATGTTGCATTCCACTTTTGGGTTTTGCGTTATATTCTATACAAGAGGGGAACATTTTTGACTGCTGTTTATGTCTGGAATCACGTTATATTCGTGCGATATAATATACAAATTTTTTAGCTGGCAGGTGTTCCAGCAGATCAAGAACTATGGGTGGAGACGAAATCACCGGAAGGGAAGCCTTATTATTACAATGCAGTGACCCGTGATACAGTTTGGGAACGTCCGGCTAATGCAAAAGTTATGGAACAAGCTGAATTGCAAGCGTTGGTTGAGAAAGATGCGAAAGAAGAGAAAGAAGCAGGTTATTATTTTAAAACTTTCTTATTTGTTATTTAATCCGAAAAGTTTTAGGAGGATTTGTTTTGTCTAGTTTCAAAATAAGAATTATAGTTCAATTACCTTGATTATCGAACTTCACATTCGCTTTCTTTCTATTTAATAGCATTTTTGAGGGTTAAGTGTGCGTTAAATTTTAATATTTTGGGCTTTAACTTTATTAGTAACTCTGAGGGATTGGATTCATCGACTGAACGCTGAGCCCGAAAAGTAAGTTACGCGCACTGCTACCCTCGTTTTTATTGTATAAATGTAATTATTTGCTTTATAATGAAATGTTTTTGTTATACTTTCTTGGCTGGTTTTCAAGCAGTTTTATCGTTAATATCGTAATTTTCAATTGGGTTCTCATCACCCAAGTGAGTTTTAATACACTTTTTATACGTGGTATTATCTGTCCAAAACATCAAGCCCTGGAGCAAGGTATGAAGATTCTATAAAGATCGAGTTTTGTTTTTAGTAGGACCTCAAGATCACTCATTGTGTTCAACTCGTTTGCTAGATTCTCTTTGTACGAAAAGGAACAGAATTTTTTCATATTTTTATAAAGGTTACGAGATTGAACTAAAATTGTTTTGCGCTAACTTTTTGGTTTCAGTCGTTGATGACGCGGAAGTCTGCTGTAAATGCTTTATGAAATAGATTGAAAATTTTTATTTTTTTTTGTAAGGATCTATTTTTTATGTATTGCAGCAACGGTTGATAGTGCTCAGTGTTTTCCGATAGGTTTCAATTTTATCTTTTCGTTCTTCGTCAGCAGGCAGCTTATGCGATTACGAAAAAGATGTAATGAAAACACGATCATTGCGGGATGAACAGTAAACTTTATTTATTTTTCGACTCCCGACTATATAGCATTTGGGTGTTCTTTAATTTTTTTCTGGTGTAGTATAAACATTGAAATTTCTAGTCATTGAACATAAAAGATTGAAACTTTTTTCTCGTTTAAACGTTTATATTATTAATCGTTTTTAAAACTTCGTATTTATTTGTTTTTGGAGATTTGAAAAATTGCATTTACGTGATTTCTAAGAATTTTGAAAATAGCAATTATTTAGGTTTTCAAATTTTGCTGATTTGTTCCTCCTGAATGCTTTCATTTAAAAAAGATAGGCTTAAGCGTTGGCAAAGGTTTAGCAGAATAGATGTTTTTCTAATGCGCAGTTTAGCAGCAGTGTTAAAGCCCCTCATGTGGTTGTATGTTGATTTGTGTGAGGACTTCGTGGTGGTCGTTTAGCCGCCGGACCGCGGCATCGAAACACTGTTCTACCACTTCATCTAGTGAAACGAGCTAAATACGTAAAGTTCTTCTGAGATTTTCACGTCGACATAGCGAAAAGTCACAACGGGAAGAAATACGACTGCAGCTCTGAAAGATATGCTTAATTGTAGTAACGGTGGTTTCTAGTGAACTCATTAAGCAGATCGATTCGTTCCTTCCCGTTGTAACTTTTACATATCGTTTGCGATGGCCATATTTTTGAAATGCGAACCTAATACTATGTCTTTGTTACAAGTTTCTCATCAATATATTGAGTGTCAAAAAAAAAAGTAGGAATCCGAAAGAAAAGAAGTCTTTCAAGCTTTTGACATTCACTATTCTTTAAGGGATATCTACATCCCTGTTGTTTCTCGTTGTGCTTCTTTGTGTCCAAGTTTCATTCCTGAGCATTTCCTTCCAGCATATATTTACACACAGCTTTTCTCGTTCTAGTCAGAGGTTTTGCACGAGCAGTGAAGTCAACGGCAAAGATTGCTTTGCTGCATAATTGGATAGCAGACATTGTATGAACGGAGCAAATGCTCATATTTTAAGGGAACACAGGTTACTTTTGCTGCATTGTAGTTAAGTTTTTATATTTTCAGCTGCTGCTCAACAAACAACCTATGCAGCGCCAGCCACCGGGCCTTCTGCGGCGGGTATGCCTTCGCAAATGGCGCCTGGTATGCCTCCTATGGGTGGATTCCCTCCAATGATGCCTCCGCCTACCGGTAAGCGTTTCTTTCAATTTAACTGTCATTCACAGATGTGATTTCATGTTGCTTATTACAAAGTTGGGCGGAATTAGCTGCTGAAAGTTTTTAGAAATGTAATACAAAATCATCGCTGAGTTTTGGGACCATTAAGTGATCATTGATTGTTTTATGTGGAGGTATAAGTTTTTAGTATTATTGTTTATTGATATTTGAGGGGTTTTCACTGACCATTGTTTTTTTCATTGTTACGTTTAGAATTGATACTGCGAGTAATTTTATCCGGGACTTAAGGGTAAATGTTTTTTCTGCTAGTTCTTATCAACGAATTCTTTACTCTTCTAATTTAGTAATCACTGATTCAGGATTTCCACCTATGGTTCCTCCTATGATGTTCCCTCCTCGCCCCGGTTTTCCTCCATTTATGCCCGGTATTCCACCAGGATACCCTATGCCTGGTATGCCGATGCCAGGTATGGCTCCTGTTGTGCCGCCGGTTGCTGGTGCCGAAGTACGGATGAAGACCATTCGAGCGTTTTTGATTGTTTTTCATCAATGCTATTATCCGAAAGATTGTGTTCTTTTACATGCGAAGAGAAATAACAACAGTTAAAGACGAAATGAGTATACATGTTTTTTCTTTAGGCTGCAGGTTTAAACCCGGAGGCTTTGCTTTGGCAAGAGTACACGGCTCCAGATGGACGCAAGTACTACTATAACACCCAGACTCAGGAAACTACATGGGATAAGCCAAAAGCTTTAGAAGGTACTCAGAGTTTATATCTGTTTATTCCTGCTTTTGAAGTTGTCGCTACTATAACTTTTTCTGTTTATCAAGATATTGGGTTTACTTTTCAAGATTATTGGCATTTTAGCCAGTAGTAAAGAAGGTGCTGGTACTGATGGTAATGGTGTTCCTGTGATTACTGAAGCTCAGCAACAGGCAGCTGCAGCTGCACAACAACAGGTACAGTACTCATTCCTTTACTCTACTGCTGCTGTCTGTTTACAGCGTATTATATATCTAGTTGTTTCATTTTTCAATTATTAGTCGTCTTGTTTTAGGTGCAAGCGCAGTTGGCTGCGGCTAAAGCTGCGGCTGAGAAAGCTAAGAAGAAAAAGGAAGAAGAGGAAGCTGCCGCTGCAGTTGCAGCTGAAAGTGCAGCTAAACAACAAGTGGACAAATCCCGTCCTGTAAGCAGCAATCCTGTTGCAAATACGGCTTGGTGTGTTGTATGGACGGGTGATCATAAGGTCAGTTTTGATCTTTTTCTTCTCTTTTGTGTTTACTGAGTAATAATTTTTCATTAAACGTAGATATGAAAATTTTATACTTTTAGGTCTTTTTCTATAATCCCTCAACTCAAACTTCAGTCTGGGAACGGCCACCTGAACTGTACAACCGCCCCGATGTTGATTTGTTGGTCTCTAAGCCACCGGAAGAAAAAAGTGTGTATTGTCATTTAGTGGCACCAAAAAAATTCAAAATTGCTGAGAAATTTAAAAAATTTTTTTTTTCTTTCTCACTTCAGGTTGCTTGCTCTGTCGTTTCTTGATGTGTTTTAATGCCAACCTGATTTTTAGAACCGACTCCTCAGACGTCTTCTAAGAGGGAAGAGACTCCTGAAGAGGATGCTGAGGAAATGGATATTGACAAAGATGCAGTTGATTCGAATGGCGGCTCAGAAGCTGAAGAAAGCGAAGATACAGATAGCCCTCCTGCTGTAAAGAAGAGTCGTAAAGAGCGTAAACTGTATGCATATTTTTCTGTCTACACCTTTGCAATGTACTTATCTCCTGAGTTTTATTTAATACAGCGGTTTAAAAGTTGTTGCATTTTTATATATTTATTAGGCAATAAAGATCTGTTCAAAATAAATTTAGCTTTTTTTGTAATACGGGATTAAGGTTTTGCGTAGGCGCTGATTTTATAATTCTTTGTATTAGTCATTGGGTGCCTGCAGAGTCATGTCGATTCAAAAATTTTATATTGGTGGTCATAATTATTTACTTGTTCCGTGTCGCAGAGGTCCGAGAAAGTAGAACTTTGTTTGCTCTTAGGAAGTTTACTGTATAGTTTTTTTTTCTAGTGAGAAGCAAAGACAAGAGCAGGCGGCGAAGAAGGAGAAAGAGCGACCGCGGCAAATGTTGGAAAAACAAGTAGACCCAGCCATTCAAGCTGAATTACAAGCGCAGAAAGCTAGAGAAGATGTATGATGTTTAGTGAAATTTGTTGTTTTTAAATGATGGGCCAGACGTTTCTTATATGGGTTTCTGAATCTTAGTTTCCAGGTACCGTTTGAGAGGCGGCTGCGAGAGTTTAAAGAAATGCTTATGGAGAAAAATGTAAGCGCTGGAAGCACGTGGGAGAAGGAGTTGTCAAAAATTGTTTTCGATAAGAGGTATCTTCTGCTCAGCGCTGTGGAGCGGAAAGCGGTAATTACAATGAAATATTTTTTTCGTTTATTCGTTTTGCGCCGAATGTTTGTATCATCAGTAAACTTCTATTTGAAAAGGTTGTTAATGCTCTTACTTTTTTTTGTGTTTTTCTAGTCAGTATAATATTCATGTTAAGGCTTTTGATGCTTATGTGCGAGAGAGGACAGAGATTGAGCGAGCAGAGAAGAAAAAACGAGCAAAGGAAGCGAGAGAAAACTTTAAACAGCTTCTGGAGGAGGCGAAGCTACACGGGAGGTGATATTTTTTCTGTTTTCGTTAACTTTTTTGGTTTTTATGTGAAGCTTTTATCATTTAAGGTCATCATTCACTTCCTTTGCTTCGAAGTATGGAAAGGACAGTCGCTTCAAGGGTGTGGAAAAAATGCGAGAAAAGGAAGATATATTCAACGATTACGTGCAGGAATTATACAAAAAAGAGAAGGAAGAAAGGA